ACAAAAAATATTAATTTGACATAAAACCAAAATAATTTTGGCAAACAAATTAACAAAATATTTTAAAATATCATGCAATTAAAATATTTTTCAATGCTTTAAACAAAATAGTTGAATAGTTTTTTAAGAAGTAAAGTTGAAAATATGTATTTTAAATGGTAGCAATTAAAATATGATTTATTCTATAGGTCCTTATAACATAGTAAAGTTAAAAATTCTGATTTTAATTTTAGTCCTCATTTGTTTTATTAAGATAATTAATACTTGGTTTCTTTATTCTTAAATTGGCTAGGTAGAGAAATACAATTCTTTTTTTTCCTGGGATACTAGTTAAAAGTTTTATGTTTGTAAACAAAATTGTGTAAGTCTTAGCATATGGACTCTGCTTTCCAAATTAACCCGAAGAATGAATAAGATACATAGAACAGATGCCAAGTACACACTCATCAAAAAAGTACTTTTTTTATTTTTAAGATTTATTTATTTATTTATTATGTGTATAGCATTCCTACCATGTGTGCAGGCCAGAAAGGGGCGCCAGGTCTCACTATAGATGGTTGTGAGCCATCATGTGGTTGCTGGGAATTGAACTCAGGACCTCTGGAAGAACAGTCAGTGCTCTTAACCACTGAGCCATCTCTCCAGCCCAAAAAAGTACTTTTGTGTTTGTTTGTGTGTATAGATGAGATTACCAGTGAAAAACAGAAACATGGCGATAATTAAGGTCACTTAATTATTCTTACACTTTTAGATTTTATCTGTTATTATTTATGTATGTTTGTTTAAGTGAATATCAAGCATGTGAGTGGCTGGAGGCCAGAAGATGGCACGAGATCCCTTGCAGCAGGAGTTATAAGCATTTGTGAGCCAAATCACATGGTGCTGGGAACAGAACCTGTATCCTCTGCAGGAACAGCAAGTGCTCTTAATTGCTGAGCCTTTCTCCAACCCCTACTTACTAGCACTTTAAGAAATTATTTTGACTATTTTTAACTGTGTGTGTGAGTGTATCTGTCTGTGTCTGTGCATGTCAAGCACAGGTGACTACAGAGGTCAGAGGCACTGGATCCTCTAGAGCTAACATTACTGGCAGTCAGTTTGTGAGCTGCCTGCTATGTGTGCTGGGAACTGAACTCGAATCCCTGGAAGAGCACTGAGTATTCTTAGCTAATGAACTGTCTTTCCAGCTCTCCTTTTATAAATGTGGCTTAATGGAACTAGACACATCAAGTTTAAAAATACTTTCTAACCTAATTAAGCACAAAAAAGAGAACTGATATACAATTACAGCCCTAAAATACTGAAAAAAAAAATGTTCTCGGGGGGGGCAAAAATCAACTTTAATAGGAAAACTGACATTTACTTTTGAGTCTAAGAGTCTTTATGTTATAAAATAAAGAAAAATTAATTTATAAAAGTGTAACTGTTAAATTTGATATAAAACTTAAAACCATCAAAGTTATAACCATCTGAAATTTAAAAAAAAACTCCATTTTTTCTTCTTTTTTAATTCTGCTGCCATGTCACTGTGTACTAATCGGGACACTAGAGTAAGCAAGTCCGAGTTTTCGCTCTGCGGTCTGATGTTGTTATTTGGTTTTTCACTTTAAAATTCGTATTAGTTTCCGTCAAGAACGATTTTAATGAGAGCAAACTCAAGGCTTATTTCAATGTCATAAATAGTGAGAAAAGTGCTAAAGTCATTTATCACTTAGTACAACAGATGCAATTCAGTAAATCCCTAACTTAATTGTCCTAATTAAAATGCAGTATTTTCCAACAGAAGTCCATGCCTATTTGAAAAATAAAAAGAACACCTAGAAAAGTAAACTATGAAATTGGTCCTCACAATGACTCTAAGAATGTTACTATCACTCCTCTGTGCAATGAAGAACTCGACTCGGACTGACTAACTTACCTAAGGTGACGAATAGTCAGGTGGTAGGTTTGGTATTCAAATTCAAGTAGCCAAGATCTACATGTTTTAACTACTTATGTATATCACTGATACCCACTAATCACTTAAGGTCTGTGGAGAGGAGAGGATGAAGAATCTTGACTTTTAATAAAGGCATCAGATTATTTTAATACTTTATAAACTTAAAGAACCAAGGGTATAGTAACATACTCTAAATCCAAATGGCAAGATATTTTCTGACATGGAGTTTTATAGTATATATAAACATGAATTCTCATGAAGCAACTAAGGGAGGCAAATTTAACTTCTAGCATTTAACAAGTCAACAAAAACACTGTCAAAGAAATTGAAGTGAAAACAGGCTTCACGATTTTTTTTTAGCTCATTAAGACTTAAAATTTTTAATTCTTTAAATTGTTTCTCTAATTTATGCTAAAAAAGCATTTTTAGCAATTAAAGATCAGCCTTTTAGTAAATATGTCAGATTTTATAAAAGTGATTTTATATTTATGCATCAAAGTTTTATTTTCAGTAATAAGAATAGATATTTTAGTTTAGAATGGCTACTATTAAAATCTTATTTAACTATTTTTACAAAGTACTTTTATGTTCAATACTAATAAACAAGGTGCTAAATATATTGCCAGTACTTTGGGAAGAAAAAAAATCACTTCTTTATTAGATAGTAACTGGTATTTTAAGATTAACCTATTTTTATGCATATGAGTGTTTGCCTACATGTATGCATGTACACCACACATATGCCTACTGTCCTTGGAGGCTAGAAGAGGATGTTGGGTCCCCAGGAACTAGAGGTACAGATAGTTGTGAGTCACCATGCAGATGCTAGGAACCAAAGCTGGTTCCTCTGCAGGTACAGCAGAAGTTCCTCATAGCTGAGCTACCGCTCCATTCCCTTCCATCTCTATTTAGAAAACAGTTCAGTTTCTCTTCATGAATCACAATATAGCATTCACACTGCAAACTAGAAATGAGAGCTACCTTAGACTCACCAAAAAGATAGCTACACACACACACACACACACACACACACACACACAGACAGAGGGAGAAAGGGAGAGAGAGAGAGAGAGAGAGAGAGAGAGAGAGAGAGAGAGCGCTCCTCTACTCCCATGCCTTAAGAACCAGGAACCGTTTATTTATTTTGAACCGTTCAATCTAACAAAACATGTACTTTTGACCTTAAATTTCTGAGTGATAAGCAAATGGTCAATAACTAACACTCACAACAATGTTTTCCAACTTTTTTCCATGAGCTAGAGTCAAAAAAACATTTTACCATGCATGTCAACACACATACACACAGAGGAAAGTAAAACCAAAGTTTAATAAAACAATATATTCAATTATACATATTCATGGTATTGTATGTAACACACTAAATATATGTGATACACTTATAATTTTTTAATATTGATAACTTAAAAAAAGAAACACTGGTCATGCAATCCACTACGTTGATTTCATAAATCACTAACACCACCCGCACCTGTACAAAGCACAGTACTTATGTGGTCTGTGTTACTATTACATACAAAAGTCTATTCATTAATATAGAAACAAGGAAAATACTAAAAACGGACCATTTTGTCCTAAGCTATATAGAATTTTATATTAAAAAAATTGAGGAAAAAATGAATGAGAGAAATAACAAAAGCTAGCATGACTACTAGTGGAAGCATAAAAATATAATATACACCATTACATGCTACAAGCAATAAATTGGGCAGGATGGCCTCCAACCAAACAGTAAATTATATTTTACTGAATAACAAAGGTTATGTAAAAAAATTCTGAAGAATATAATTTATCATAACAATGTCATTAAAGTAGTCTATTATATATATTTTTTTTCTTTTACTATTTAAAGATATCTGATTTTTTATCAATTTTCAACTTTCCCAAATAGATGTATGATACTGTCACACAGTATTTTTCTTGTCTCTTTATTTTCATAACTACTTGGGCCTACAAATTCAAATATATCACTTTTATTTTTGAGTCTATAAAATTTTGGAAATGGACTAGCCACAATACTACAAAGAAAAACTTGTAAAGAAAGTGTCATTTGCTGAAGAAAACACTTACCAGATAAATAGAAAATAAAAGCATTCTCCCTCACGATGACGTTGCTTATTTTCAATATTAGTACTTCACATATGGCAGCAAATTTTATTTTGCAAAAATGTTTAAAGACTTATATTTGGCCTTTACTGAGTATTCTCTCTAAAGCTTATTTATAGCTAAGAGTTAAATACCTGTATTCATGTAAATCAGTTCACCACTTCCATATTGGTTAAATACATAAGAATGGCTTGGCAGAGTAACATTACTGTGTATAAACTATGATTTTTTTCCTTAGAAGACTTTCATTTACATATTTGTTTACCACATACTGAGGAATATGTATAGACATAAAGAAGAAAGAAATGTATACACACATTTCCATTAAACCACATCTACAAAAGTTAGTATCGGTTGGAAACTAAAAATACCAAGGTTTGTAAGACAAAGATAAAAAAATTATACTTTTGCTTACATCTGTACTTTAAAGGAAAGCACACTGAAAAAGTCATAAAAAGTATACACCTTGTAGTTTCTGGAAATTCAGCCATTCTCTCAAGGAATGACGCTGAAGAAAAAAATGAAACAGAAGAACTTGTGACAATGTTGAAACATTTACCTGAAATTCCGGCACAGCAGGTGACTTTGTGACAGTTTTCCTCTTCTTTGTGATTGCTTTTTTAGATATGGATTTTTTTCCTTTCAAGATTAAAAGAGAAAAACTTTATAATGCTGTTTACAGCACCTCATTAACAGAAACCAAATTACATAGTGCCTTAAAAGTTAAACAGTAACTAACAGATGGTTGCTAGTAAGTCAAACGAAAATAATGAATCAAACAAGCCTCAGTGAAAGCAAATATTAAACTGTAACCACCGTAACAGACACATAACCCTGCCTCTTTATGTAAGAACCAGAACTACTACAGTGTTCAAGGTGATATAAAAACAGAGTATATTAAGAGGAGTAGGCATAAAAGCCACAAACAAAACTACTGCTCAATTAAAATCTACATTCACAACTTACAAGAGACTGAAAAGAGCCTTACCTTAACAATGACTTCTGCAGTCAGGAATCTGGGTAAGCATTTTATCTAAAGATTATGAACTTCTCAATCAAAAGCGGAAACCCCTTAGTAACATAAGGATGCTTGCCTTCCTTTAGCTCTGTATTTGTTTAATGAGTTGCTTTGGGCTGTATTTGATAACCAGGTTTTTAGAAAGTGTAATTAACATATCCCTTTAATGTTCACTTAGTACTTTGGGCACTCAGAAATCATGAGGGAAATTAAACCTCATTCTTAAGGAATCAAACTTCTAGAACACACCTGATATATATCTACTTCTTTGCATTTAATGTCACAAAGTAAAACATACATAAATGCACTTTTGGCAAGGAACATGCTAAAATTTTTCCTTATTTTGTTTTAATGTATCTCACACTGTAACCAAGGCTGCCTGGGCTCAACCTCACAAAAATTCTCTTCCTGCAGGCCCCCAAGAACTGGTATTACATGTGTGAACTACCACATTTTGTTCTCACATGGGACTATCAAATAATAAATTTATTTAATTGTAGGCTGGAGAAATAGCTCCAGGGTTTTAAAAGCACTGGCTGCTCTTCCAGAGGACTTAGGTTCCATTTCTAGCAACCACAGATGGTGACTTACAATTCTGGGTCCATGAGATCATTTTCTTCTGGCCTTCACAGGCTCTGCACACACATGGTGCACAGACACATACAAAGGCAAAACATGCATATTCAGAATAAGAAATAAAAATATTTACTTAGTTGTTCAACAAATGATACATATAGTGCACTAGTTAATGAGGACAACAAGGAATTATTAAATGGAGATCTTTTCTTCTAGAAGCTCACAATTTCTAAGAGAATGAAAATGTTTCTGTTAAATTTTTGGTGTGTGCTGGAGATGAAATCCAAAGCCTTGGGCATGTTAGGCAAGTGCTCTACCTCAGAGCTACACCTGCAGTCCTCTGTTAATTTTGATTCACAATTATTTCTAGGCTAAAATCAACTTAACATTAACTTTTTCAGAAGAGAAAATAAATAAAATTACATAATTCTAATATCCTTCTCTAAACAATTTTTTAAATTGATAAGATTTCACATGAAAGCTGTTAATTTTATTGCAACATTTTACTAAGCCCAACTAAAATAATTTCTAATTATAATAAAATTATTATTTCTGTATTCTCTTTCAATGAAATCACAAAATTATAATTGGATAATTCCTAACATTTGACACAAAATGTATGTATACTATGAATAACTGAATTTTGAGGTGCTTACGTTCATACAGATTTCAGTGTTTGGTTTAAGTAAGCATATCAATCTGCTGTAACTTAACTCTTACTTTAACTAAATGAGTATATAATTACCCAATATACATCTCTTTTCTCATCACCATTACTTGCTTCTGTGCTTACACTGTCACCTATGACAGCACTAAATCTAGGAAGCTAGAGAAGTGAGTGAATGTTAAATGAGCAATATTCAAGCAGAAACAACTCAATTCTTAGTGTCTGTAAAATAGAGCTAGCTCAAGGAGTCTTTGAAATCTGAATGCCAGGATGCCTTTTCTACTTATCATTTTAAAGTTCTTTAGATATATTTTTATGTGTATGAGTGATTTGCCTGCATGTATATGTACTGCATGTGTGCCCAGGGAGATCAGAAGAGGTTATGAATACCCTGAACTAGTGATCTGGAACACCGCGAGTCACCAGGGAGGGTCTCAGATCCTATGAAGAACAAGTATTTTCAACTGCTGAGCCATCTCACCATTATTATTTTTATTTTTTAGACAGTACATAGGAAAAGATTTGCTAAGTAAAAGTAAATCTGCCTTATATTTTATGGGGAGCCTTTTCAAACACAATTTGAACAAAGAAAACTCTCCCCAATCCTGTTCTAACAGGCTTGCTTTATTTAGATACTGTTTCTCATATCCTAGGCTACCCTAGATCTTTAGAGTCCAAGATGGTCTTGAATTTTTGATCCTTCCTCCAATTGCTGAGTAATAAGCATGCTCCATTACTTTAAAAATAAATATTTAGTGTGCATGTGTATCCATGTATGTGGGTAGTCACGTATCATGGCATACTTGTGGAGGTCAGAGGGCAACTAGTGGAAGTATGTTCCCTCCTTCTATGTAGGTTGAGGGGATCAACTCAAAATGTTTAGCTTGGAGGCAGGCTGTTAAACCTATTCAGCTATCTTGCAGGTCCCAAAACCACTTTTTTTCACCCCCATATAGTCCCAACTGTCCTTAAACTCATGGCAATTCTACAATCTGTTTCCTTACTGTTGGGAGTATGCATGTGTACTACAATGCCATTTGTACCGTGCTGGGAATCATGCGTGGGCTACATGCATGCTGGGCAAGCACTTTACCAACTGAGCCACATCTCCAGTTCCTCCAATTACAGACACCATTTAGAGTCAAATGCAAATGTTGTCTCATAGTCTTTTAAACTTAGGTAGTAAATTCCCAATAAATTTTAGCAGCCACTCTTATGTCAATGGATTTAGGAAATTTACATGGTTATGACCTTCAATCATTAGGCTGATTAAATGCTATTAAGTTCCTGGACTTACTGATGCATCAGTAGTCATGTGGGGGCTTTAAGATTGAGTTCTGGAACCAAGTTATGTGGACTTGGATATCTGCTACAGCCACCTACCAGCAACATGACCTTAGCATGTAGGTCGGTAAGCAGCTTTGTAGTGGCATGTTATTTGTATTTTGATAAATAAATCTTGCCTGAAGACCAGAGGCAAAGCTAAAGTCATTAGAGGTCAGGTAATGTGACACATTTAGGATTTGGGAGACAGAGGCAGGTGTTTCTCTGTGAGTTCAAGAACACCCTTGGCTACACAAGATCAATGCAGAAACAAATCCAGGTAGTAGTGGCTCACACCTTTAATCCCAGCACTAGAGGGAATATAAAATGGGAGTAGAGAGAAAGGCTGAATCTGTTTTAGTTTATGGTCACCCAGTCTTGGTAGAGGTTTCTGTTTTGGTTTGAACCACAATTTCTGTCTCTGGGTTTTTATCCGTGTGCTATATAGCTTGTGAAAATTGGTTCTCTCTGTTCACAGTATAGGTTCTGGGGACTGAACTCAGGCTATCAGGCTTGGGAGCAAGTATCTTTAATTAATATGATGTGCCATCTCACTAGGCCCTGCTTTTCCCTCCCTTGTTTCTTTCGTTTCTCTCTTTCTCTCTCTGGCTTTTCAAGACAGGGTTTCTCTGTGTAACAGAATCATTTTTGTTCTTACATCCATGTTTCTTGATGTTATTATTATTATTATTTTTTTACAGTAAGTCCACTGATGTGACACCTATCAGGGCATCATACCAAATGTTTTTTCCACTGATGACAGAAAATATATTACTTGCAATACACAATACACAGCTTCCAAGAAGTGATCCTCAAATACTAGAATCCCACTTTCCACCAGAAATTTTGATAGTTTAGTGGTAGGGAAAAAGAGAGGCAAGTCACATCTTAACTATTATGTGCATCTATTTCAGTCCATTTTGTACTGAAGACCACACCAAAATGATTTTAAGTAATTAATACTTTTTTTCAGTACTGGGAATTGAACCTAAGAGCACCATGCTTTCTTGAACAATACTCCATCACTGAATTATATGTCCAACTGTTTTTTTTTTTTTATTTTGAGATAGGGTCTTGGTAAATTGTACAGGTTGTCCTTGAACTTGAGATCCTCTGGCCTCAGCCTCTGTAGCACCTGGGATTATAGGTGGGCATGATCATTCCTGATTTAATTTGTACTATTTACCATGGACATAAAAGGACTAATGTTTATAGTGGTAATATGAGGACTAATATTTATTGGGATATTGTCATATAATATATGGCATATACTTACTAAAATGATTTTATATAAATTATTTTATTTAATTTTCAAAACTGTTGAAACCAGTATTTTACTAGAGATGCTAGAGATAACTAAAGATCAAAAGGATCAGTTAACTTACTCAAGTACCAGTAAGTAAGCACCACACCCAGGGATTCTAACTTCAAAGTCCAAGTTCCTCCATTACATAATTCTATTTCACAAAAAAATCAGTTACCATTTGTTGATTCTTTCTATGAAGCAAGTGACGAGCATGATAAGTTTTATGAATTTGTTATTCTAACTTTTCTTGCTAGTAAATTAGCAAGCTAGAGACTATATTAGCTCATTTATACTAACGAACAGACTACAAACAGAAATCAAAAGAGGCTTTATAGCGGCTGTGTACTGGAGCAGATATTATCAGCTACATTTTCCTCACTTCAATTCTGTGTTGTTTCCTTTCAGATTTACACAGGGATGAAATATGTTTATGATTGACTTCAGAGTAATCAGTTTTTAAACCAGGATTAAAAGATTTGCACATTCACTGTTACTTAACACCTTGTGCAACCTCAAAAGATAGTCTGGATATTTGTTTTCTCCTTGTTTGCTAAATTTCAGGCCTTTAAAATTAAACACTTTTTAAAAGAAGCATAGGTTAGTACAAAACCACACAGCTGTTATTTGGGTTTATTTGGAGAAACTAGCAGTGAAGTACGGACACCTGGAGCTACAACTCAGAGTGGTCCTTTTCTTTCAGGGAAAAGCCGTCCTCACTCACTGAGCAGGGAGCTTGGCAAAGGACCCATGAACAGCTGTGAGGAGGAGGGCACTGGCTGGTCAGGTAAGGCAGATCAGCTCTGGCTGACTAATGGAATGAAAGAAGCCACAGCCAGATCACCTTCATATTTCAGTTATTTGATAATTTGCTTTTGTTTCACGACAAGACATATACTAACTGCCATCAGTAGGGCATTCTCATGGCTTGAGCATACTCAAGGCTTTTATTCCCAGAGCCTCAAATAACCTGGCCCGTATAAAACCAACCATAATCCAGACCTAAGATTGTGTGCGAATCCAAAGTCCTTTTAAAACACAAATCAGAATATAAAAATGATGTTTTAATCTCACACCACTGACTTTAAAACATTGTTATGTACAAAAAATTAATTTGTGCTTGGGAAAATGTAAAAGAGTATCTTAATAATTCTAATAATAAAACTTAGCAATTAATGCTACAATAATATACCTAATGAAGTTTTCTAAAACACCATGCACGGAACAGCTTAAGAAACTCATATTCTACCTAAGATGAAATTATAACTAAAAAGTATATTATCCTCTAACAGAGGCACAAATGCCTCCCTCATCTTTATAATTTGGAGCTGGAAATTTGAGTTCTCCTTTCCTTCATCCTTATCCTTATCTATAATCCCACTCTTCACCTGTTTTCCCATGTCTGGTTTCATCCCTTAGCCCACTGGGCTATTCAACGATTTCAACAATCTTTTCTGGCTCTAACCTTCTCATGGATTAAAATTCTCCCAACACATGCATCACCTCCTCAATTTTCGCAGTTTAGGAATATTATTATGTGAATGGGTGAAAGGCCTAAGGTACTGCTAAAAGTGAAAAATCCAAGGGCATTGTATGATATTAAATAGTAGATCTGGGAAGCCACAGAAATGGAGTTCACTTGTGTCTTATTTACCACATACACATGTCTTAAACTAATATTTAGTCTATAGGACTTCTGAACTCCTCTAAGTAAACAACTTGATCTTAATTAAACAACTGATTTTCATATTGTTCTCCTTGCTTATAAGAAATGTTCTTGTCATGATGGTAATTCTTTTACCTAGTCACACAACACAGTAACTCTTGAACATCCAGTATCTTTCTCTTTAACTTAGTGTTACATGAATATTAGTTCGGGGGTGGGGGGAGGAGTAGAAGGAACTGAAAAGTAAATAAAAATTAAGTGCCAAGGTCTGCTATTTTCTGTACACCTCTCTTAATAGGGAATACTTTTTTTTTGTCAATGTAATAGAAAAGTTACACGGCATGCTTATTTGTGTTTAATTTTTCTCCTCACAGTCATCTTCCAGCTTTTCATTTAAACTCTATCAGCTTCTTTTCATAGCTATTTAGGGCATCCAAATTATCTTTTAAGATTTTTTCTTTGGATCCCGCCATTTATTAGTTATGTAACATTGAATAAGTAAATAGATCTTCTTGTTTCTCATTTTAAAGAATATCTATAAAATCTTGGTCCAGGAGAGATGATTCAGGAGTTAAGAGCAGTTGCTATTCTTGTGGAAGACCACGGTTCAGTTCCCAGTACCCACATATTAGCTCACAACCACCTCAAACTCCATTTCAGCACAGGCACCCAAGTGATGTACATATACAAACAAAGGCAAAACACTTACATATATAAAATAAAAATAAGTCCTCAAAAACATCTGATAAACAAATAAGTAAATAAGTATGAGACTAACAGTAGCTATCCATTTTTACAGTTTCATAATTAAATAAAATATATGTATAAAGGCTAACATTTAGTGTTAGATGAATATTAATTCTCCTGAGGAAAAAAACCAAAAGGGAGAGGATGTAACTTAGTGGTTGAACACACGCCTGGCATGCACGAAGACTTGGATTTCTTTTCTAGCACTGCAAAGTACTAAAAATAAAAATAAACTGACAAGATGTACAGTGAATTCTTTCATTCTCACATAACCTTGCAGTCTCTAGTTGTTACTCTAAAAATATTTTCCACAAAGACACATAGTTAGGTTTTAGGTGCTATCAATATAGAATTCTACAAACTTTTCACAAGTATAGCCTTATAAGTAACCAAATATTAGAAATTATGTTATTTCTGTTATTTTCTATAAACTAACTGCTTTTCGTATATTGGACACATCTCATATACATTCATTCATTTGCTCTTGGGATCACGATCCAATTATTTAAGCTGGCATCATATGCCTAGAAAAAGTTCTCTCCCAAATGGCATACTCTTGAGTAGATTTGAATACCTCAACTTTTACTTCAAAGATTTTTATTGTGCTTTTTAAAAATCACTTAATTATAAATATGCTTTACTCATGATATTAATCACTGTTTACATATTCAAGCCTAATTATTCTTCAAAGTTCTTCATTCTTTATGATATCTTCCCATGGCATACACTGAGTTTTCCGTTTGCTTCCTCTTTTTGTTGTGTGGTCTTATTAAATTGAGAAGGCTATTAATCAATTTTTTTTAAGATTTATATATTCTTATAAGTGTTTGTCTGCATATATGTATGTACACCACATGTATGCCTGTAGCCAACAGAGGCCAGAAGAGTGTCAGATCCCCTGGAAGAAGAGTTACAGATGGCTGTGAGCCTTCTTGTGAGAGCTAGGGACTGAACTCAGGTCCTCTGTAAGAGCAGCAAATGCTCTCAATAGCTGAGCCACCTCCACAGACTCATTTTTATTAGTCTTGAAATTAACTTTCCCTTTCTTTTTTAATTAGTCAGGCATGCCTTTAATTGTAGTACTTGGAAGGAAGAGGTAGGTGGATCCCTTTGAGCTCAAGGCTTGCCTAGTCTTATATAGAGTTCCAGGCTAGCCAGAGCTACACAGTGAGACTGTTTCTAAAGCAAAAAAAAAAAAAAATTTACACACACACACACACACACACACACTTTTTTTTTGTTTGTTTGTTTTTCAGAGAGAGAGAGAAAGAGAGGAAGAGAGAGAGAGAAGGTCAAAGGACAACTTGTAGGAGTTGCTTCTTTCTTTCTACCCTAGGGGTCCCAGGAATGACCTCAGACCATCAAGCCTGGCAGCAAGAGCCTTTCTTTACTCAACTGGGCCATCTTGATGATTATAGTTTCTTAGGGATTAGGGAAGAGCTGTAGCTGAGAAAGTGTAGAGTGGAAATGAAGTACATATTTTATACATAATCATGTATTAAATTCTCAGAAAATAATCAAATACCCAAACTGACCTTCCCTGTAATCAGATTGGTGAATACCCCAACTATCATAACAAAGCCTTCATCCAATAACTGATGGAACAAGATGCAGAGATCAAGAGCTCCAGGTGTCCAGTCAAAGAGAGGGAGGAAGAAATATATGAGCAAGGGAGGTGAGGATCATGTTGGAGAAATCTAGAGATAGCTAAATTAAGCTCATAGAAAATCATGAACTCTAGACTGACAGCTACGGAGCCTCCATGGGACCGAACTAGGCCCTCAATATGTGGGAGACAGTGATGAAGCTTGGACTATCTGAAGGGCCCCTGGCAGTAGGACCAGGATCTATCCCTGGTGCATGAGCTGGCTCAATGGAGCCCATTCCCTATGGTTGGATGCCATGCTCAGCCTTAATGCAGTGGGGAGGGGACTGGTCCTGCTCCAACTTAATGTGCCAGACTTTGTTGACTTCCTATGTGAGCCCTTACCCATTGGGAGGAGTAGATGGGAGATGGGCTGGAAGGGGGAATGTGTGGGGGGAAAAGGAGGAGGGGTGAGAAGGAGAACTGTGATTGGAATGTAAAATAAAATTTAAAAAAACAACAAAGTAAAAAAGAAAATGCAAATAAAAAAGAATTATTTTTAGTCTATTTTTGGTTAATTTCACTAGTGCACCTTAAATGACAAGGGCAAAAGGCATAAATGACTAAAAAACTGAAACCACAATCTATAAAACAGAAATAAAACCCAAGTCTAAAAGGCAAACAAAATGCTTAAAAGTTACAAAACTAGATCACAGTGGACTAAAATTATCAAATAATTCAAATTGATTTGCCTTTGTACCTTCTATTTAAAAATATCATCTCCCATCACAATTAACTAAAATTCAGAAATACCTAAAAATTTAAAGCCTGTACACATTGTGGACTAGATAACTACACGAAGAATTTAGTCCACTCTTGTGTAAGTTCATAAATCAATCATGGATGACATCACTTATCCCAGAGTATGCTTTATAAAGCACATGAGCTAACTGCTGCTTGAAAAGTTATTTTATAGTAAACTTAAAGAGAATACTATATTAATCAAAACGAAGTTTTCGTTCCTTTGAAGTCTTCCAGAATTCTTAATACATGAGCCCCAAATCATTTATCTAAAATTTTAAGTTGAAAAGGCTCTGAAAACTAAAAATTTTAAAATAACTTATATGCTTAACAAATTCAGCACTGAACTGTTATAAGATTCCAAAAACAACTTTATTTCCTCTGCTCTAGCCACCCACAAGCTCTACTAGCAATGCTATTTAGTAAGTACTAGATATATCATAATATTCCTTTAAAATCTGAAGAGTTCCAAATTTCAAAAAAATGTGGTAGTTTCCCAGAATGCTCCATGAACTTATACTAAGACATAGTAAGAGGAAACCTTATCAAACTATGACTACAGAACTCAATTTCTAAAAAATATAAAAACGAAGTACTGGACTCAAACATGATGGAAACTCAACTTTTAAAAGACCCTACTCGCTCAACACCTAATAAAAATTTACAGAACAAGTGGCCTGAAACCAAGGTTTTACCTTATAGCAACGGATGCAATATCATTACATCTAAGGTTCGTGATACCTGAAAGCAAGAGAATGAAGACCATCACACAGTCTTTGTCAATTTTCATTCCCTGGGCTTATTTCTGAAAGTTACTTTAAAAAGTTAGGTCAATATGGATCACTTTGGAAGTTTTAGTCAAACAAGCTAGGCCTGGTTTTGGTAGGAAACATTACACTTCTACTTTAAAAACATATTCATTACGTGTTATCTAACCCCTCCCCCCCCACACCATGTGTACATGTGTGTACTTGCTAGAACTCACGTC